TTCCATATATTTTAACCTTTATTTAATTATCTTTCCATTATCATATTCAATCAATTAGCAACTCAATTTAATTATCATGTATAAAAGTGAATCACATACCTTTGCTTTACATTCTCCACATAAGTTTCATATTTATCCATATTCCATATATTTTAACCTTTATTTAATTATCTTTCCATTATCATATTCAATCAATTAGCAACTCAGTTTAATTATCATGTATAAAAGTGAATCACATACCTTTGCTTTACATTCTCCACATACAGTTTCATATTTGTCCATATTCCATATATTTTAACCTTTATTTAATTATCTTTCCATTATCATATTCAATCAGTTAGCAACTCAGTTTTATTATCATGTATAGGAGTAAACCACATATCTCAGCTTTATATTTCCCCATATAACAATTTCTAATCATCTGGTTTTTTTCTAGTAAGTCTTTTATCCCACTTCTCTATTCCTGTCTTCTCCCTTTTCTTTGTTTTGACACATCCACACTCTTCAATTTTCCCCAAACCCAAATAAATCTTTTATATTTGTTGGGGGTAACCCCCTTCTTTGGTTTTCCCTATGCCACTGTCACCCTCCGAAACATATTTTGTCTGCTTTTTATTTCCTTTTGTTGGGACACATCCCCCCTTTTCAATTTTCCCTATACCACTATCGAACTCAATGAAGTTTTTTGTCTGCTTTTTATTTTTCACCATTTCTATCCCTTCATTTTCCCTGCCCCCTTCTTCCTTCCCTTCTTCCTTTAGTTCCTGCTTCTTTGAGTTAAGAATTCCATTTAGACAATTTTAATGATTTATGCATATTCCCAACTTTCCAGAATGTTCATTTCCAAAGTTACAGTTAATTATACTGTTCTTATTTCAGAGTTCTGTTCCACCTTAAATTGTTTCTTCTTAGATTTTCAGTATTAAAATAATTTTTTAAAAAAATTAAAATACATTTTCCTAACTGAAAAGGAAAACAAAATGGGAACTCCAGGAGATACAAGATATTTACACAGATCAATACAATAAAACATATAGTATCTTCCAAAATAATTACTATGTAAATAGGCTAAAAGAATACTGATTGCTTATTTTAATATTCCAGATCATGAACTTCCAGCAAAACAATTCAATTTATTTATTTTAATTAGTAGGAGATTCTTCCTCTAGTTATCTTGCAGCCGCCTAAACTATGGTCAAAAAATCACCAGGTAAAATTAATTTTTAATGTTCTTATTGGTTGCATTGAATCTAGCATTAGGTTCTGGTTGTTTTATTTGTATAGTAAACTTGAATGCCACTATTGTTTGGTTTGATCTGGTTGTTTTATTTATACAGTAAGCTTGAATGTCACCATTGTTTAAAGCATTTAAATTATAAACAAAATATAATATCCCACTTACTCTTGTTTCGAATCAGCATCACAATTGCAATTGTACTTTGAATCAGTACAGTTACGTTCAATGCCACAGGCACATTTCTGAATGCCTGGTCCAGAGCCACCCCAGTAATACTGCTTTTCATTGGCACGTCCGATCCACCAGGTATATGGATTGCCATCTGTAAAGACAAGGAGTGGAAAATTAAATGCAGCAGAATTTCGTGGTATGAAACAAGAATGCTTTTATTTTATCTCATGAATAACTTAGCCCTTCTTGCAAAAAACTGCATTGATCAAACATGATTAGATACTCTGCTTCAACCAAAGAATGTAGTCACTAAAAAACCAATATATTTTAAATATACTGTACTCAAATCCTTGTAATCTAATTGATACTTTGTTATTAGTGAAGCAGCAAGAGCAATATTGCACATTCTTTGCATCCATAGTTAAGTAATCATCATTATACAATGCATTAAGCCCCCTTTCACTTTTTGACAATTTTGTTATGCTGCAGCCTGATTCTACATTAAACTACATTCAGTACCCCATAATGCCAAGTAAAAACAGAAATTTATAAGTGCCTGTAAATTCATTAAATTTATTAAAAATAAAAAATTGAAATATTATATTGGCATAAGTGGTCAGACCTGTTGCTATTTAGGTCAGATGCCTCCCCCTTTCTCTTGTTGCTAATATGTTTCTACACCTTGATTAGCATTAACCTATGGTAAATTAAATGGTTTGAACATCATTCAGAAAGGCACATTTCTTTCTATAGAGGGCCTCACAGCTGACAATGTATAATATAGCAGAGCAAAAGCATAATGTCAAAGAAACTGCCTGCTGAGAGAAAGGATTTATTGCAAGGGACAGATCTGAGGAAGGCTACAGTAAAAAATCTGCTGCACTGAAGGTTCCTAAGAGTTTTGTGTCCCCCATAATTCTCAAATGGAAGACGTTTGGCATAACAAAGACTGTTCCAAGAGCTGGTTGCCTGGGCAAACCGAGCAATCAGGGGAGAAGTGACCAAGAATCTGATGGTCTCTCTGACTGAGCTTTAGAGATCCTGTGTGGAGATGGGACAGAGTTCCAGAAGTCACTGCAGTCCTCCACCAATCTAGGCTTCATGGTAGAGTGGCTAGACATGTTATTCTATTTTATGAGACCACATAAATTTTTTAATTAAAAAGTATTTTACCTTGGTTATGAACAAGATAGCAAAAACAACTCTGGTTCTCAAATGAACCTATTTATTTTTTTATATTTAATTTTAAAATCTTAGCGTAAAAATCAATATTCAAAATTTAACCAAACTCTTAGTCCATTTATAACTTTCTTAAATTAAAATCTCATGTAGGTTTTTGCTGTTTATTTCAAATTAAGTGTTTAAGATTTAATTAATTTTTATTTTACTCAGAGTTGAAGTTAAACTCACACAATTTTCAAACCTGTCATTTTGAAAGTCTCTAATAGTTTTAAGATGGTTGGTAAGCAATTTCTAAAACTTATCAGAAAGTGAGACTTGCACTTATGGTGAGCAGCAGAACAAGCCAAAGCATCTGTCTTGTCAGGATTGAGTGCAAGCTTGTTTACCCCCATCCAGACCCTAACAGCCTCCAGGCACTGACACATCACATCAACCGCTTCACTGAGTTGGCACGGGGTGGACAGATACAACTGTGTATCGTCTGCATACTGATGGTATTTTATCCCGTGCTGCTGAATGATCTCACCCAGTGGCTTCCTGTAGATGTTAAACAGGAGGGGGGACAGGACCGAGCCCTGCGGCACCCCATACTTAAGGGGCCTAGGGGTCGACCTCTGCCCTCCAACCAACACCGACTGCGACCTGTCCGAGAGGTAGGAGAAGAACCACCGAAGAACAGTGCCTCCCAACCCCACCTTCTGCAACCGTCGCAGAAGGATACCATGGTCGATGGTATCAAAGGCCGCTGAGAGGTCAAGAAGCACTAGGACAGAGGCATGACCCCTGTCCCTGGCTCTCCAGAGATGATTGGTCAGTGCGACCAAAGCAGTTTCCATGCTGTAGCCAGGCCTGAATCCAGACTGGAAGGAGTCTAGTTAATCGGTTTCATCCAAGGACCGTCGGAGCTGAGAGGCCGCCACTTTCTCGACAACCTTCCCAACAAAGGGGAGGTTGGAGACTGGACGATAGTTATTTAGAATGGCTGGATCCAAATTTGTGAATTTATCAATATCTAAAAGGTAATTTATTAAACATATTTCTAGGGAATAAAAAAACAGAAAATGGACACAGAATCCTTTTCAGATCTTTATATTAAGCATATCAAGTTCTAAATTACAACCAGTTGCATAGGGTGATGAGAATCGAAAGGATTTATATGTATGCCAAACATTTTCATCTCACCTACTCTGTAATTGTTTGCAAGCAAGTTTGTTATAAGCCTGACAGTGAAAGTGTTTTAAGGACTTAACATGAAAATACTTAACAATATTTTCAGAGTTTGCCAGTGATGTCAAACATATATTTAACAGCTGCCTTAATTGGCTGTTCAGTTTCAAAATCTAATCTGCTACATGGTTTATCTTTACCACTTAAATGGCAACATGAGAATACATGCTGTAACCTTAATGTTTATTAAGGCAAGGATTTCTTCTGGGTATTCTGAGAAATGTAGCCCTCCAAAATGCAGATCTCACATATTATACTAAGCCATCATCTCTTTTCCTATATCATATTGGCTGGGTTCATACTAAACCATAAACTAAGGATTACAAATTACAATATTTGGATTCACAGAAGATGAATCCACGGCCTTCCCCTTAGTCTCTCAAACCCAAAATGTGTTAGGCAACCCTAAAAAAGTGAGTTGATTAAATATGATTCAGAACATTTTGATTTAACATAATGCTTGAATTGAGTTAATTGAGAAAGATTGTATCACAGATAGAAATGAGAAGTTAAGAAGGGTTATCCTTTTCTTTCTATATAAATTCTAAATGAGAAAATCAATTTTAAATGAATATCTTCATGAAATTAAGGACTAATAAAATGGGAATTAATGAGCAATTAATTAGTTAAATCATAAAACCTGTTTTGGAGGCAGTAACATATAAAGAGACAGCAAATAAGAGAGAGAGAGAGAAAAGAGAGAAAGCACAATATTATTTATTTGTTGACTGCTGCAAGTGAATCAGTAGAAGAAATGTAGAAACAACAGGCAGGATCCAATCTAGGTAGGTCACCGGGACAAGAGGATTTCAGACTCACGCCATCTTCAGAATGTTTGCTGTGGGCTATTCTATGCATAGTATTTATGTGGTGCCTGATTGTTTATGGCTTTTTATTTGTTGATTGGGGTGTTGATGCTACCAAGTCCTTGGCTCCTAAGTACCTGATAAGCTGATCGTAAATTAGCCTTAGTCAGTCCTGTTGACTGACAATATTTGTTTCTCCCTGTTATTCTAGGTAACTTTGACTTTTATTCCCCTCTGAAGTATGTGAGATAAAACATACTTCAGAGTATGGTTTCATGATTATACATAACATGATTAGCTTAGGTCTTGATGATCCACTAAGGTAAACATAGCATGTCTATCATATTCCATTGACTGCAACATGCTTGGTAATCATTCTGGATTTTTTAAAGTCAGAAAGCAGTAAAATAAAGCTAAATGAGAACACAGTATAAGAATGGATACTCTTTTGTTTATGATATACTAACTCAATTTGGTTTGGTATGACATGATAAATTTATACCATTCAAAAAGTGTGCATGCACACTTTAAAAATATTTTAAAAGTAAATTTTACATCTCAGTGGGAAGAATATTTTCAATTATTTTTTGGATTAGGGTTAAAGGTAAAGGTTCCCTTCGCACATATGTGCTAGTCATTTCTGACTCTAGGGGTCGGTGCTCATCTCTGTTTCAAAGCCAAAGAGTCAGCGCTACCCAAGGACATCTCCATGGTCATGTGGCCGGCATGATTAAACACCGAAGGCACATGGAACGCTGTTACCTTCCCACCAAAGGTGGTTCCTATTTTTCTACTTGCATTTTTTACATGCTTTCGAACTGCTAGGTTGGCAGAAGCTGGAATAAATAATGGGAGCTCACTTTGTTACGTGGTGCTAGGGATTCGAACCACTGACCTTTCTGATCAACAAGCTTAGCGTCTTAGCCACTGAGTCACCGCATCCCTGGGGATTAGAAATGTCTAAATATCTGGCTTGGGGCTCAGGAGGAGCCTTAGCTGTGGAGCTACTTAACACTATGAAGGCATTCTCCCCCAACTTTTAATTAACTCTTAATGTTGAATTTTAACTATCTTTGCTTTTTATTTAAATTTTATATACAGTTTTTATATTTTAATATTTTATTAGTATACCACTCAGAATCCCTCTGTGAAGAAGATGGATGGTTTTAAACTTAATATGTTTGACTGAAGTAACTCAGTACAAGATGCACCAATACTGAGGAACCTATTATACATAAAAATGACCTTGAAGTATGGATATATAATATATTAAATGCATGTTTCCAAAAACTGTATTTAGGATTTTGCACACTTGTAATAGAATTACAGCTTTACTTAATTATGTAGATCTGGAACAATTTTCTAAAAAGACAAGTTATTTTATCACTTGGTCTGAAATCCGATAATTATCAATATTCATGTCATTACTGCCCTTCATCTCTGTAGATTTACAAAAAAAATTGCATGATTTTGTTCTTTCTATGCTGAATATTGCACACTGAAAAAATGGACTAAGACTTCATATAGATCATCCGTGTCATAAACTATGCTTGCTCATATGAGAAAATACGTCTCCTTGAGAACCATTTCATTTAATATGAAAACATTCTTATCAGAGTTAATGTAGTATGAACTAAGAACAGTCAATAACATATTTATTTCTGACATAATAGAAGAATGTATGGCTTTCATGGGATCATTTTGCATTTCAGTTAGCATTTAATAAAATCTATTATTTTAAAATACAGCTGCCTGAAATAAAAGATTAATTTTAGCACTTTGTGTCTAAGTTTTCATATTTTCAGTGTTTCTATGCAAGGATTCCATTAAAAAAATCAGATGCTCAATTATGTACCTGCAAAAATATTTTTTTCAATATAATTTTTAGATATTCTGAGGATTAAAGTCATACTTAGTTCTGAAAGCTTTTCAACCT